CCAGGAGATGGACAACTGGGCCGGGGGTTGCTCGGTGGGACCACAGCCACACACCGCATCCTCCTGCCTGCCCCGGGGCAGCGCTGGCAGCGGCACAGAGCGAGGAGCTTATTGCACAGGAACAGCAGCATTTGCCAGCAGCTGCAGCTGGGGATAACGCCGCCAGCCATCTGTTTTCTGGCTCAGGAACTGAAAAGTGTATTTAGAGGTAGCAAGAGCGTGCGCTTGTTGCTTTAGTTGGTGTTTGGGCTGGCCGGGCTGCTGTCGGAGCAGCACAGAGAGGGACAGCCGGCAGCCCGTGCTTCCCTCCTGCGCCAGGAGCCCTGTGCCTGGCTGGATTGGGCTCAGGGCTCCCCAGTCCCTGACGCCCATGAGAGAGGCTTGGTGACAGAGTGTGTCCTCAAAGTGCAGGCCTGCTGCTGCTGCCTGTCCTGCCCTCCCAAGCAGCTGACCCAAATTCTGCCAGTGGTTGCAAGAGGTGGGAGCAAACCAGTGAGCTCCAGCGAGGAGTTTACTGGTCCAGGGATGTTTATTGCATTCAGAATCTTGCAGGCCCCTTATTTTTGTGGCTTTATCCTGTGGCTGTTGGCTTTGTTTCCCCCTTTGGTGAGGGCGATGTTGTGCAGCCTTCCTCCCTGGGTACCGTGCTGCTCAGGCTCATGCAGTGCACGTGCACAGCGGCGTTCGGAGACCCTGCAGCCTTCCAGGAGCATCCTGTGACCGCAGCCGCCCTGGGTCTGGCCCAGCATGTAGTTCCGCTTCATGTCTTTTTGACCTAGCTCCTTGATTCCCCAGCTGCATGGGGGGGATCCCGCAGGCTGTCGACATTTCTGGAGATGTGGCCGCACGGGGAGGATCCACATCCTCATCAGCAAGGCCAGTGGCAGCTGGCAGAGTTGCAGCCTCTTGAACATCTCAGGTGGGTACAAGCCCACAAGCCCAGTCTGCTGCCTGTGGGGCCAGTGTTTTGGGCTTGCTGTTCCTCACCCACCTGGCAGTACCTCCTGCACACTGTCTTTCCCACCAGCAAGGGCACCATGCTGCTTTACCAGCGGTTTCCAGCTCATCCCATGAGGTTGTCCCACAACCCAGAGCTGAAGTAAGTGAACAGAAGTTCACGGGTTTGGCCAAGGTCTTTGTCCCATCCTTTTTAAAGGATGCGATGGCAGCTCTGCAAGCTGGGGCTCATGGCCACCGGCCTGCAAGGAGGGGAGGTGCGGCCGGAGCACCCTGCGCTGGGCCAGCAAGGGAAGTCCTGGTGGAAGCAGCGTTTTTTTATCTGGGCTGCCTGAGCCCGGCATTTGAATGCTTGGAAATGCTCTTCTCCAGATGTTTCCTAGCACACGCCGGCTCTGTTTATAAACAGCTCCTCAAAGCAAAGCCCGTTGGGGCTGCAGGCGGGCGCTCGTGGCTGCGGCCCCGCACGGCTCCCCTGCACCATGCTACGGGGTCTGGGGCCCAGGGTCACCTCTTTCCCCTCCCATCAGGGCAGTTAACAAAAGCCCAAAATGCCTTGTCTTCCTTTCTCCTCCCCTCTTCCCGGCCAGCAGCTTCCTGCCCTGTTGCATCCCAGTGGTGGCCGGCATCTCCTTCCTGCCCTGGCTTCTACTGCGGGGGGACAGGGAGGAGGGCACCCCGGAGCCGAGGCTGGTGGCATGCTGCCCTGCCTGAACTCCCTGTCCCAAGAGAGATCCCAGCTGCTCCAGGGGCCTGGGGCACGGACATGTTTACATTGCAT